CCCCCAGTGGCTTGCTCTGTCTTCTTTAGGTCTTTGCTCAAATATCACCTTCTCAGAAAAGCTCTTGACACTCCCAGTAATACTTTCTGTCTCCTTATTTTACTTAACTATTTTCCTTTATTGTACTTATTCCTATTGGACATATTAAATATTACTTTGTTTTTTATCTCTTTCTTCCCCTGCTGGAATGTCAGCTCCATGAGGACAAGAACTTTTTTGTTGTTGTTCACAATTTTATCTCCAATGTCTAAAACAGTGTCCAGCATACAGCAGGCATTCAATAAATGTTTATTGAACAAATGAATAATAGTAATAACATTGGGTATTTACTCTGGGTGGGCTAAATACATGTTTATGATGGGGGGAAAGGGCTTTATTGAGATTTCGATGCATTCAACAGTGATTTCATAACCTTTCTCCTGTCAGCTCCTGCACCCAGCACCGCAACCCTGAGCACTTCCCCTTTCCTGCCCCGGCCAATGCCCCCCTCCAGCGCATCCGTTCTACGTCCACTCCCAATGTTCATATGGTCAGCACCACAGCCCCCACTGACTCCAGCCTCATCCAGGTTGGTCCTGAAGGGGCAGTAATGGGGGGGTCACTGGGCAGAGGGAAGAACTATTTCTGTTGCCATCTTTGTCTTCTCTTTGACTCTTGGCCTCTTCTTCCAGCTCACTGCCCAGAGTTTCAACACTGATGGTGAGCCATCCCCTGTCTGAACCCTGAGCTCCACCCCTACCCCAATTGCCTCCACTCACATCCTCTTCACAATCTCAGCTGCTGGTACTAGAGGTGTTGGTGATGGAGCCCCCCGGGGGAACCCCAGCCCAGCTAACGTGTCCTCAGGGAGGAAGTCCCCACATTCCAAGTCACCTTCAGAGCAGCGGGAGCGGAAGTCCTTGGCTGATGACAAGAAGAAAGTGGTAAGCTCAAGGGGGACCATTTAGGGGGACACCACAGACTAAGGAATGTGGGCAGGCCCCTCAGATGCTGCCCATCTGGCCCACAGAAGAACCTGGGGTACCGGGACTCGGGCTATTACTGGGAGGTGCCACCCAGTGAGGTGCAGCTGCTGAAGAGGATTGGAACAGGCTCTTTTGGCACTGTGTTTCGCGGGCGGTGGCATGGTGATGTGGCTGTGAAGGTGCTCAAGGTGGCCCAACCCACAGTTGAACAGGCCCAGGCTTTCAAGAATGAGATGCAAGTGCTCAGGTGAGAGTACACTAACATGTGGATGGGGAGGGGTAGGGTGCCAGGGACCAACCTGGGTGTTGCCTCCCTGGGAAAAGGCCGTGTTCGGGGTGCTTCGTGGACCTCACCCATGTTTCTTAATCATAAATTGTTTCTCTATCAAGGATGTCACTGTTCCCTCCAGGAAATGAGTATGTTTAGAGCAGGACTTCAAACCAGTTCAAAATGGTTCAGTATTTGCCACCATAAACAAGGGAAGCATATGCATTGCATCCAACCAGATTTGTTGCCTGTAGTATTTTTCCCTGAGTGGAAATGAACAGCTGTGCTCTTCTCAAAGATGGCTGCTAACCACACAGCTTTGATTGTGTGTTGCTCTCCAGAGTTCTGCCAGTAATGTTGCTCTCCAAAAGTCCTGCCACAATCCTTGCTCTTGAAAGTTTCAGGAGCCTGATACAGGAGATTGGACTATTGGCAGGACTGGCAAAGCAGCACAGTTGGCCTCCATCTTTGAGCAGGGCACAGCTGTTTATTTCCTACTCAGCTCAAAATAACACAGGCAGCAGATTTGGCTGCTGTGCAACACATACGAGGCCTTTGTTTCCAACAATTACTGAACTATTTTGAACTGGTTTTAAGCCCCGCTGAGGACATCTGATGGTATTGTTGTTGGGGTTTGGGTTAATGTTAATAGTAATTGATAGTTATACCCCCCTGCGTTTGAAGACTCAAAATGTGAGTCTTCTCATTTCCCTACTGTGAAGTGGGTGTGATTATAGCACAGGATTCATGTTATTATTTTCACTTCCATGAATGGCATATTGTTAGTTAACTGCATTACCAAGAGGGCTTGGGGCTTGTGTTCAGCCTATCCCTCTATTTATACTACATCGTTAATATTATGTTTATTATGTTGTATTCTTGTTACATTAATTATAATAATACCATAATTTAAAGACCAGTAGTATTATTACACTCATAAGCATAATTTAATCCTTGTTTGAGTAGTTGTGGTAATTGCTATCATTAATGTGTAATTAATACTATATTAATTCATTCATGCTAAAAAACCCTGGTGTTCCCTTTTGGCCCTTGTAGTTACTACTACCGCTTGGTGGGATGCTGGCATGGGCCAGTCTGTTGACTGGGCCTAATTACGTTTCAGAGTTGATGTTATTATTACTTGTGCTATATTAATGTTTATCTTCATGATGGATGCCCCAATCAGAAACCTTATATTCTTTGTTTCCCTCTGTGAAATGAGTATAATTTGAACATGTTGTTTATTTTCATAATATAATAGTATAAACATAATCTTACCACTATCGAGAGTCCTCGTATGCTCTGTTATTATCTCTGACATGAGCAAAACCTAGTGCATCCTTGATATTATTCACATTTATGTTACCATAGTGCCTAAAGAGCTAACCAGAAGGCTGGTGGTTCAAACCCACCAGCCAATCCTCGGAAGGAAGACTGGGCAGTCTACTTCTGTAGTGATACGGCCTCGGAAACCAGAGGGGTCGCTATGAGTAGGATCTGACTCAACAGCAGTGGATTTGGTTTGGTTTATAATTGCAGTTAATGATTCTATAAGAAATGAAAGTTTTCTTCTAAACTTGTTGCTAGTTGCCTTCAAGTCAATCCCAACTCATGGAGGAGGAAACAATTCATGTGACAGTTTCTGTGAGGTAGACCCAAGTACCCAATAGCAATAACAGCAAGAAAGCAACAATGAAATTTATAGAGCACTTACCATGTGTCTGGTGCTCTTCTAAGTACCTCACTGATTATTTACTCAATTACTCCTCCCAACAGCCCTATAAGTAGCTCATGTAATTATCAGCATTACACAGTTGAGGAAAATGAGACATAGAAAGGTTAAATGTTCTCCCAGAGGCTCCATAGTAAGTAACTGGTAGAGCCTGGATTTGAACACAAAACATAACTTGAGTCCAAACTCCATGCTTTTGACCTCTAAGCCTCTCATGGTGATTAACAGAAATAATTGCATGTCGTCATAATTTTTACCCTGCAGTTATCAATAAATTTTATATTGATATATCTATGAAGAAGGCTGGCATTCCACTTTCTCATCTGTAAAATGGTATGGTCACAGACCCAAGTAGCCAGAGATAGAGGTGTGCAGCATGTTAATAGGAGGTTATCAGACATGATTAGAGATGCACTTGGTAGGCAGAGGTGGCGGGGTGGTAATCCCTCCTCCCTGCTTTTGTGGGGAAACTCAGATGAGGAAGTCCCTGGCATAGAATCATAGCCCAACAAACATTTCTCAAGAACTTATTGAATCTGGCAATTATGTGGCCCTGAACTTCCTAAGACAGAGTAAAAATGAATGACAGAAGGCAATGAATACAGAGCTGTTCCTGATGCTCAGTAAATGAATAACAATTGTTTTCCTCCCCAACCCTGGCACTATACTCTCTGTCTGCAGGAAGACACGGCACGTCAACATCTTGCTGTTTATGGGCTTCATGACCCGGCCAGGATTTGCTATCATCACACAGTGGTGTGAGGGCTCCAGCCTCTACCACCATCTCCATGTGGCTGATACACGCTTTGACATGGTTCAGCTCATCGACGTGGCCCGGCAGACTGCCCAGGGCATGGAGTGAGCCCCCTGTCCTGGAGACTAGCGAGGGGAATGAGGGAACTGAGGGTGGGTGGGAGATGAGATGGTCCCCAGCCAATTCACCACCTGCCTCTACCCCTACAGCTACCTCCATGCCAAGAACATCATCCACCGAGATCTCAAGTCTAACAGTATCTTCCTGTCCCTGTCTAAGGGCTGGGCTGGGGCTGGGGTGTACTAGGCAGCTTGAAGCTTAGAAGGATTGCTTTTATGGGGCACATAATGGGGATACTAGAGAGGGGGATGTATTGTATAGCTCTTTTGCAGTTGGCAGAGCTGTGGCTGGTGTGGGGGCCTTAAGCTCAGTAGAGACGTGGCTAGTTCCAGGTACTGTCCTTGGGGACTCTAGTCAGGGTCTTGAGAGTGGCGGTTGTGAAAAACATTATAGGAAGTACCTAGACAGGGCTGTAGATATGGTGAGTTTGGGTGCCATTCCTAGTCAAGAGTCACACAGGAGGTCAAGGGAGAGTTATTAATTGGAGCTCCCTACCTAAGTCAAAGTTGTGGATTATTTGTGTGACATTGGGGAACTTCTGGTCAGAGTTGGAGGGATGGCTGGTGTGGGTGTGTTGAGGGGAACCTCCCAGTCAGAGTGAGAGATATGGCTATTGGGAATCCCTGTAGTGGCCCTTGACCCCAGCGGACATCTTCCTACACGAGGGGCTCACAGTAAAGATTGGTGACTTTGGCCTGGCCACAGTGAAGACGCGGTGGAGTGGGGCCCAACCCTTGGAGCAGCCCTCAGGCTCTGTTCTATGGATGGTGAGTTGAGCCAGGCTGGACCAAGGTCATATAGGGTCATGGGCTTCTGTGGGGGATATGGAGGGCTGAGTTGGAACATGCTTGTCTATGCCAGGTGTGAGTGGCTAGACTGATTTCATGTTTCAGCTAGTATGGGTGGCTAAGAGTTATAACTAGTGTGGCTAGTGGGATATGGGATTATGGGCCAGCCATCTGCTGACTCCATGGTCCCCCTGCCTGGTCTGGCCTATCAAAGGCGGCTGAGGTGATCCGAATGCAGGACCCGAACCCCTACAGCTTCCAATCGGACGTCTACGCCTATGGGGTTGTGCTCTATGAACTCATGACTGGCTCACTGCCATATAGCCACATTGGTAGCCGTGACCAGGTGAGTCCCACACCTCATCCACAATCCTTTGGCCTTAGGGATTCCCTTCAGGGCTCCATACCCTAGATTCCCTACTTTGCACAGACCCAGAATGTCACACTTGCCCCAGAAACCCAAAATTTTCTGAGAACTCCCAGAATCCTTTGGGGTCCAGATATCCTTAATACTCTTATTCCCCTGTACTTAAGGCCCCTTCTTTCCCCCATATCCGCAATCTTCTGGATGCCCAAAGTCCAGAATCTACTGAATTCCCTATACCCAGAATTTTTGTAGGCCCTAAACACTCAGAAGCTCTCTAGACCCTTAGATACCTGTAGTCTTCTGGCCTGGGTACTCAAAATCTCCCAAGCCCCCAAATTCCAGAATCCTGTTTCTCCCAGAAAAAGAATCCCTCTATTCTTCCAGATACCCACAATCATCCACGTTGTGGGTATCCAACAGGCCTCTGGGCCCTGGGACTCAAGAGTACTCTAGGCCCCATACTCTCACAGTTCTCCAGGGTCAAGGCCTAAAATCTTCCTGAGAAATCCAGGATCCTCTAGGATCCAGATATCAACAGTCTGTGGGCCCTGAACACACACAGTCCTCTAGGTCCCAGACACAAACCTGACAGCTCCTGAGGGCTAGGATCCCTGGGCTCTCCCCAGACCCAGAAACCCATGTTTTCCCCAGACTCAGGACTTTCCAGGCCCCTGAGCCCCCCATAAACCTGTGGACCTATAACGTGGGCTCCAAACACCCAAAATCCTTCACTTCCCCCAAACATATCCCTTTGTTCTACAAGTGAAGACTCCTTCCAAGTTGTTAGAGACCCAGAATCTTTGAGTCTACAAGATACTCAGTCCTCTGGGCCACAATACCCAGTATACCCAAGTTCCCAAAAAAGGAGCCCTTTGAATCCCTAGAAACTCAAAATCTCCTGGGCCTCCCAGACCTCTGGATCACCCCTTCCTACTTTCCCACCAGATTATCTTTATGGTTGGCCGTGGCTATCTGTCCCCGGACCTCAGCAAAATCTCCAGCAACTGCCCCAAGGCCATGCGTCGCCTGCTATCTGACTGCCTCAAGTTTCAGCGGGAGGAGCGACCCCTCTTCCCCCAGGTGGGCTGGTTAGGAGGGCTGGATACCTTAGGGAGTGGGGCTCTGAAGTGGAGGAAGACACAAAGGTGTGAATGTAAACTGTGTTCAAGGCTCAAAGGTGTAAAATTTGTGTGTGCATGTATGTGTGTGCACGTGCACGTGCACGTATGTGTCCCTATTAGGCTGGGGTCTGGGGGTGTTGGGGTGCCTTGGGGGTCTGGACACCCCTCCTCACCCCCACCTGCCTCCAGATCCTGGCCACGATTGAGTTGCTGCAGCGGTCACTCCCTAAGATTGAGCGGAGTGCCTCGGAACCCTCATTGCACCGTACCCAGGCTGATGAGTTGCCTGCCTGCCTCCTCAGCGCAGCCCGCCTTGTGCCTTAGGCCCTGCCCCCAACCACCAGGGAGCCAATGTCAGCCTGCTATGCCAAGGAGCCCTACCCTCCAACCAATCAATGTTCTGTCTGCCCTGATACTGCCTCAGGATTTCCCCATCCTCCACCCTGGGGGATGAGGGGTCCCCATGTGCTTTACGGTTCCTCTGGAATTGTTGGCCACCCAAAGACTGAGATCCCTGCCTCTTCTATAATTTGGGTTCCTTTTGGCTTTGGGGATACTTCTAAATTTAGGGAGCTCCTCCATCTCCAATGGCTGAGATTTATGGCAGGGATTCCATTCAGAACCTCTCTGGAATTTGTGCCTTCCACTGGATTTTGGGGTTTCCAACACCCCTTGTGGATTCAGGGGTCCCCTATGTGTGTCCCCCCTATTCAAGGACTCCCCTCTTCACCAAGAAGCACAGAATTCTGCTGGGCCTTTGCTTGTTTATTTTGCTTCCTGACTCTTCTCTTGGGTTCAGAGCCGCAGACGGGTAGGGGTGGGGTAAGTCCAGGCAAGGAGTGGAGGTTAAGGGGAGGTGCAGATCACACAAACAGCATCACTGCACACGCATCACCACAGGCGGCACGATGAACAAGGACCACATATGCCAAGCACGGCACAAGAGGAGGCCACATCAGTCACGGATACAGACATCACAGCAAAGGTGGGGAAGTGGGGGACCACTGGCCTTCCGTGTGCAAAGGATTCTGGGATGGTGGGTGGAGTTTGCATATTTAAAGACAGCTGTCAGAGGCAGGAAATTGGAGAGGGTCCCTGGGGGAACTGAGGGGACCTAGAAATGGGAAGAGTTCCCAGTGTGTTGAATGAGGTTGAGGGAAGGTGAAGGTAAACCTTGTGAGTGTGGGTGGTGGCATTTTGAAGATGTGGATCTCACAAAGGACAGGAGATCCATGGAAAGAGCTTCGGAAATGGGTTTCCTAGGGATTTGGAACATTTTGATGGGGAACAAGTGTGCTTGAGAGATTTGGGACCAGGAGTAGGGTTTTCCAGGAATGTCAGAGCTCCAGGAGGGAATTCAGTGGTGGTAAGGCCAGAAATCGGTTGCCTGGTATTGGGGATCTTCCAAGAAGGAAAACTGCACTCTGGAGGGACCAGGAGTAGAGGTCTTCAGGAACTTGGAGGTTCTAAAACTGAGAAGTAGGTCTTGAGGTGACCAGGAGTGGGGATTTAGAAGGGCTTGGGGATTCCAAACTTGAGAATTGGAGTTAGGGCCAGGAGTGAGGTTTCTCAAGGGATTTAGGGACCTCAAGGAATGGGAAGTGGAATCTTAGAGAACCAGGTGAGAAGTTCTCAAGGGATTTGGAGGTTCCAAAAGTGAGAAATGGATTCAGGGCCCAGAGAGGAGTTGGCCAGGGATTTGGGGTTCTCAGGGTGGGGTGTCAGTCGGAGAAGAGGCTGGCGAAAGACTTCCTCAGGCTGCGGATGGTCTCAGCTTTCACCTCGTCCTGGCTAAGGCTGGGCCTGGGCGGGGCTGGCTCTGGAAGGTTGAAGGCATTGGTCAGAGACTGGGATTTGCTAGAGAGAGACAAGGTGGAGGTGTGGGAGGAAGGGGGTGAAGAGGGAGAGGAAGGGGAGAGAAACATAATGTTACCCCAGGCCCAGCCCCAGCCCTGCTCTTCTGATCCTTGGGCTGTGCCTGTGACCTTCCCACCCATCCCCATGGGCCTAGACTTTGAAGGAATCTCAAGGCTGGGAGGACTCAGAGTGGGAGGAGACTTGGTCCAAGGAGGTGGGATCTGGAACTGGCTAGGAGGAATTAGATCCAAGGTGAAGGAGTAAAAATCTTGGGCTGAATCCTCTTTGAATTCTAGGCTAGACTAGGAGTTTCATATGAAGGAGAAGATGAACAGGGGAGGATTTCAGCCCAAGGGTGAGGTGTCTAGGGTGGCCTGAGAAGAATTCTGGCAAGCCTGATAGAAGGCAAATCTAATGGGGGCAGTTGGCTGGGGTACGGAGAACTTCTGAACTAAGGGGGAGGAGTCTGGAATGGACCAGAAGAGGAAAAGTGGATGGTGTGATGATTTGAGAACAGGAAGATTGGGGATAGACTAGATAGACTGCTAGGAAAAGTATTAGTATCAGCTGGGAAGAGCTGATATAGGAAGGACTGTGGATTGGGCCAGGAGTTTTAGGGATTGGTTGGGTGGCGTCTTGAGAATGGACAGGAAGAGGGTGAATTTGGTAGGGAGGATTCTGAGATGAGCAGGGAGGTACTGGAGGGGGCTTAGTAAGGTGCCTAGGATGGGCTGGAGGGGGAGAATTTCCCAGGTCCTATTGGGAGGGAGCTGAACTGAAAGTGGAGTTTCTCTGAGAGCTTGGGCCCAAATCCCTGATGTTGAGGGAAGAGGATCTGGAGTGGAGGGGAAGGGTCACTGATGGACTGGAGGAGCCATAGCTTGGGGGAGGGGTTTGGTTCAGGCCGGAGAGAGTGCTTAGGACCCCTGGATAGAACCTTGGTCAGAGGGGGATGGGAGCTGGGGCTGCCCTATTGGTGCAGGAGTCCACTTTGTGAGCAGCAAAGTCAGGGCTTGACCTTGGGGGCCCCCTTACTTGAGCTGGGGGTGCGGGGGTCCCCCGGCAGCAGCGGTGGCAGGTGGTGGCATGTCCTGGCTGGCTTTCTGAGCCAACTGTGGCTTGGTAGGACGTCCAGCAGGGCCTGGGCCACTGGGCCGTGGCTGCTGTGTGGTGGGTGGCCCAGGGCGAGGCCCTGGGCCCACCTGGCTGGCCTGGCGTGTAGGACCAGCAGGGCCTGGGGGTTTCTGGGGTGGTCCCTGACGCTGCTGCACACCCTGTGGGGCCCCTGAGGCCTTTGGTGGAGCTGGACCAGAGACAGATGTCTGACGGGTAGCCTGCGAGGGTCCCGCCTGGCGCTGAGGTGACGGGGAGGCAGGTGGGCGGGCTGCTGGAGGTGCCCCAGGTCCTCCAGCCACTGGCCGGGACTGGCGGCCTTGACCCTGGGTCAACGGCGGGCCCTGAGACCCAGGCTGCTGGGGCGCTGATGTGGGACTTGGTAGGCGCTGGGGCAGGGGGCTGCCAGCTGGGGGTCCAAGGCCTGAAAGGTGCTGCTGGCCCTGTGGAGGCGGGCGCTGCTGCAACGGGGGTCCCTGGCGCTGGGGGCCTGGGCCCGGCTGTGGAGGGCCACCTGAGGGACAGAGAGTGCACACGTGAGACCAAGCAAGTGAAAGGTGGTGGGGGCTGCTACGATGGGAGGAGGCTGAGAATACTGGCCCCTCACTTACCCTGTGGTGGGGGTCGTTGCTGAGCTGGGGGCCCTGTGGGCTGCTGGGAGGTCTGGCGACCCAAGGGCAGGGCCCCTGGGGACGGAGTCTGTGGCAGAGGAGTGGAGCAGGAGAGAGGTTAAAAATAGTTACCAGCCAGTGGAGAATCAGCCAATCAGGATGACATGGGTTCCCTCTGTGCTGGGCGTTGTCCCATTTGTGGCTGAGCAGAGATGTTGGGATGGGGGAGGGGGTGCCTTCTCAGAGGAGGGGTCAGGAGGCACTCAGGGAAGTCAGGGTAGCAGGTATTTATCAATTTTTTAAGTAATTGGCAATTGTCACTGCATGTGCATAATGGTGATTCTGTAGGCACCCTGCTCAGCCACAAGTTAGCCTACTGATTACCAGCTCCATGGCTCTGTATGACTGGGGGCCCACCTCCCCTCCACTACCCCAGGAGGCCTGCCTGGCCCTCACTCAATGCTGGGGCCCTGACCTGGCTGTGGGAGCCCCTGCCTGGGGAGGCATCCCGTTGCCTGGGCAGGGCCTGGGCCATCTTATTTACAACGAGCTCTACGATGAGCTGCTTGTCTTCATCCTGGTGGTCTCCAATGAGCGGCATGGAGGAACCCACCACCTGGGGGAGGAAAAGAGATCCAATGAGGAGAGAGGCAGGAAGTACCTGTGAAGGTGAAAGTTACACGGTGCTTTAAGTTGGCAAAAGGCATAGCAGCTGCCAAACAAATGAGCTTTAGGTTAAGAGGCACTGGTTTTGTCTTCTTCACAGGGTAGCTTACAGCCTAGGAGTTACTTCACAGCAGGGATCGGCAGATTATGGCCCGTGGGCCAAACGCAGCCCACCACCTATTTTTGTACAGCCCATGATTTAGAGTGGGTTTTACATTTTTTTCCCCTGTGACCACCCCTCCCTGTGCCCTTCTCATCCTTGCATTCCTGCTGTCTGTCCAGCTTTCCCTCTATGTGAGTGCTATGCATTTTTTATTGGTTGAAAAATAATTTTTGAAATGTCATAACAAGTGAAAATTATATGAAATTCAAATGTCAGTGTCTATAAAGTTTTATTGGAACACAGCCACACTTACTTGTTTACATATTGTCCATGGCTGCTTTTGCAGGGTTGAGTAGTTGCAATAGAGACTGTATGGCCCACAAAGCCAAAATATAATCTTTCTAACCCTCTACAGAAAAAGTTTGCTGATGCTTGCTTTATAGCTCTCATGGCACAGTGGTTAAGTGCTTGGCTGCTAACCAAAATGTCCATGGTTCGAACCCACCAGCCACTCTGTGGGAGAAAGATGTGGCAGTGTGCTTCCGAAAAGATTCACAGCCTTGAAAACCCTGTGAGGCAGTTCTACTCTGTCCTATAGGGTCGTTATGAGCCGGAGTCGACTTGATGCCAAGTAGTTTCTTGTCCTTTATAGAGGACTTCACAATTTACAAAGCACCTTACTCTTTACAAGGGGAACCACTGTTTACAAAATACTTTACCATGTATAAAGCCCTGCTCTTTACCAGGTACTTCCTGATTTTCAAGATATTTTACAGTTTACAAATTGTTGTACTGTTTACCAAGGGCACCACTGTTCATAAAGAGCTTTAGAATTTTGAAACCATTTTTCTTCAATAACAGGGACTTCTCAGTTTAAAGAGCTCTTTTTTAAAAATAGTTTTACAAAACGCTTTACTGCTCACCAAACACTTCCTAATTTGTAAGGTGCTTTACAGTTTACAAGAAGCTCTGGTGGTGTGGTGGTAAAAAGCATTCGGCTGCTAACCAAAAGGTAGGTGGTTCGAACCCAGCAGCTGCTCCATGAGAGAAAGATGTGGCAGCCTGCTTCCAAAAAGATTTACAGTCTTGGAAACCCTATGGGGGACTGTCCTGAACGTCACTATGAGTTGGAATCAACTAGAGGGCAGTGAGTTTGGTTTACAGAATGCTTTACTGTCTTCACTAACTTGCTTCATTAGGTTTTATAGCTTACAGCACACTTCACAGTTTACTAAGGGCTTTGCCATTCACCAAGGTGTCCCAGTTCACAGAGTACTTTATAGTTTAACAAGCGTTTTGCCATTCACCAAGGACATTCAAGTTCATAGAGCAGTTTAGAGTTTACTGTTTTGCCATTTGCCTGGAATGTCACAGTTCACAAGGTACTCTACACTTTACTAGGCTCTTTGCCGTTAGCTAAGGATCTTTTGTGCCACAAAGAGTGTAACAGTTTAGCGTGTTGCTGCTGTGCACTTGTTCCTCCCTCTGTGCGCACCTCAATGATGTGGTCCCTTCCGTCCTTGCCATGGAGTGCTTCCACTGCGCAGATGTCCAGTCCCCCAAAGATCTCTGAGCATGTGTCCACCCACAGCTTGTACCTGCCAAGACGTGGGGTAGGAAACCTGTCAGTGCTTTGTCTGGGTGCTGCATTCCCACCCTCACTGTCCCACCACAAGTTTGAGTTGCTCGCCTGTCAGACATGGCGATCTGCTCAAGCATTGCAGAGCCAGTGTTGGTCTTCCAGTTCCCTGATACAGACGTCCTCCTGGGGAACAAAGGAAAAGAGGTTCAGGGAACTTGGGGTGGGCAGGTGGGACAGGGCAGCGGACCCCTCCCCAGACCTCAGTTTCTCCACTCACATATAGGCCTTGTAGTTCTGCCCAATCTTCTGGACACGCACATCATATTTGGCATCAATGAAGGGCTCGGCAGTGGCATATGTCTTGGTCAGTGCCACGACACTTGCAATGTCCTGGAAGTCATGCTGGTTGTCTACTTTGACCTATAAGAGTGGGGTCTGGGGTCATGGATCAGAGCCCAGATAGGATGGGACACTAGTGGGGGTGCCTCAGGGAGTAAGGCTGTGTACACATATAGCACACAGGTGAGGTGCATACACAAAAATGAGGTGGACATACAGTATATTAACAGGCACACTAAGGCATTCAAACATGCATATAAGTCTTTTTTACATGTGCACAAAGTTGGGTATATACAACTCTGAATATTCTAAACACCATTGAACTGTACACTTCACATGTGAGTTGAATGATGTGAATTATAGTTCAGTAAAGCTGTTCAAAGTCAGGTCCGACTCGATGGCATATAACCTTAATCAAACAGTATACATAATGGGCACCCAGGCACAAAATCAGTTGTACACACAATATACAAACATACACAAACACTGACACACTCAAACATACAAATCTCAAGTCTTTTCTGTGTACACAGACAAAATTTGATGGAAAACATACAAGGACCCCAAGACCTTTAAATATAAAAGATTATGGTTATGTGTACCCAACACAGGCGTGCATACACACAGAGACACAATATTGGATACACTAACAGAACATACAAGATTGGCTGAATGTATGATAGAAAAATGGGCCCACAAAAAAATCAACTGAATGGAAAAGAGTAAAATTGCAAATAGATAAAGATACCCCAAGATGCACCATCATCATACAAGATTACTGGTGTGTGTTGAATATACAAATATACATTTACATATAAACAATGCCAGATGAATGTGCTGTGTACAAACACCATCCTCAGGGACTCACCTTGCCCATCCCGGAGTGTGCATGTCCCATCTTCACAACCACAGGGTACGTTGTGCTGCTGAGCTGGGTAGGATGGAAAGAGGTGGCATGGTCAGGGCAGGAGTGCTGAGCGCCAGGGGTAGGGGATGGTGCTAAGGGGAACCCATCTGGTAGAAGCCACATTATGAGCCATTTCCCAGAAGAGGGAGCTTAGAGACAGATGGGGTTTCACAGCACCACCCAGCCCGAAATCGAACCCAGAGCCCTGCCTTTTTGTCTCCCCCTCCATCACTTCATATCCCCAGACTTCACACCCATGCTTTCCCAGGCAGAGGCATGGGATAAGGGTGGGGGACTTTTCTGGAAAAAGGAGCATTTGTTTTTACAGTAAGTGAATGATAAAGACATGAATATGTGTGTACGGGTGGCAGTGATGAGCATGTGGCAACGGGACCTCACACCAAGCTTTGTATGCAAGCCTTGTCCACACACATGCATGACCCAGAGAGACACTCAGAACTCAGATCGACGGAAGCCCAGAGATGCCAATGCACATTGAGACACAAGAGATAGAGGGACTCACAACCAGCAGAGGTTCCAAAGCACACTTAACCTCTCCAGGGTTGCACAGAGACAACACAGTCACCCACCCAACCATGTACTCACAACAGAGGACAGAGATCAGCATGCCCAACCAGCTTTGTTTCCCAGCAATCAGTACACGCTCAACACTCTTAGACATACTACCAACATTTTTGGGGCACAGACATAGCACACAGCCCTCCTCCCTTTGCCTAAACACACACAACAGGGACAAACAGAACACACAAGATTATCCATACAACACACAGACCACCATCAGAGGCATAGCCATAGAATACAGAGGCACATTCAACTCTGACAAGCACATACAACAGAATTGGCCAAATTCCAACACTTACAGGCACACGCAACATTCCTGGGCACATACTCAACAAGCAGACCTACACAACAATGAGACTGTATGAAAGTCTAATGTCAGACGTACTTGGTGTGTGTAAATAAAGCAGTCTGAAAGCGGAGGCTTAACTCCATTTTAAAGTCTTGACGAGTCTGGAATCCATATTGAATTTTAAGGTTGCCTTTCCTAACAGCAGTTCCTATAACCTTGCTGCTGATCTAACCATATACCCTAAAGGAGACATTCTTTTTCTCAGAGATCTGGCAGGTGCAGGATAGGATATCACAATCTGTTCCCAGATGGCCTTTCCACAATGGTCAAACAGGTGCAAGATGCGATCGCTTATACCCAAAGGGTCTTGATGCACAGCATTATCAATACATCTTTACAGTGCACTCCCATGGAGACACATGATGGAGAAAGCAATGATAATAGTAGATTATCAGAAATACCTGTCCTGCCATTGTCCTGTGACATCCTGCAATGAGCTGAAGAGCACGTACCCTTGCAATGATGTACCCTTATCCAAACATATGTAATCCCATATGATTAGCCACTCATCCCTGCTAAGCTCCCATCTTAAATAGCTCATCTTGACTCCCCTGATTGTTTTTCAACTAATGATGGTTTGTAACGTTAGTTCCTGCTCCAACTGTACAAGAATGCTTGCTTATTCATTGTCCAGTGGAGCAGCCATCTTCAGTCTGTGAATTTGGAGTCTGGTCCCAATCTGGACCATTTCTGGACTTTCAATAAATCTCTTAAGTTTACTGTTACAGAGTGTGTATTTTCACTCTAGGAGAAGATGTACACACACACTTCTAGGTATTCACATAATCAGTGAGGCCCACTGATAACAGAGAGACCCACGTCACTCTCCTGGGTACATAAAAAGTATATCTTGACACACACATAAAACATGATTTGCCAAATACACAACAATGCACAACACAGAGAGGCATGCACACAACCAGAGACAACCAGAACCCTCCTAAGTATATTATTCCCAGGCAACACCTCTGGGTGTGTGCACGCACAACATTCCTAAGTATGTGTGTGCGTGCGCACACACTCATATATATACACACATTCAAGGGCGGGAGGCACTTTTTGAGTTCCACTCACCCTGGGTGGGGTGGAGGGTACTGGGTTGGATGACTCCAGCCCCACTATAATGCACGCAAAGGGCCCCTCCCGACTTTCCCTCCTTCTGTGGAGACAGATGCCTGACGGGGTAGAGAGACTGCATTCCCGGAGGGGATGCTGGGGCGGTTCCCAGCGGTTCTTGGTTCCCGACAGGCACAGGAAGCCCACATGCTTAGGGTGACCGACTGACCTTCAGACCTCGCCCTCCCTCTGCACCCCCACCTTCCTCATTTCCCAAAAGACTGGCGTCATTGTGGGTGGGTGGAGGGGTTGAGAGGCACCGTGTTGGGATGCGGGATTATGAGGGTCCTCTAGGTAGCATGCCAAGGAAACAATGCAGAGGTGTGCACATGATGTACACTCAGGCATACACACAGCATGCAGAAGTGAACAACACATTCACAATTATTCAAGATTCCAGACTCATGTCAGGACTTTAAAATGGAATTAAGCCTCCGCTGTCAGACTGCTTTATAGACAACCTGCACCCAATTTACAAAGGCAGGCACGACTCCTAGGAGCAACACAAAACAGAGAGATACACAAAACACTCACCTACACACAGCTCTCAGAAACAAATACACAACACAGAAGTACACACACCACCTAGAGGCATACACACAGCTCTCAAAGGCACACACACAATCTCAAAAGCAGACAGGCACCAGAGAGCTGTGTACACACATGCATGCACACCCCCAACGTTTCTAGGCCCCTCTTTTCATAACTAGTCCTTGTTTCCTCTTGCCCTGAACCTGCACACACTGTGTTTGTGTGTCTGCACATGGAGCTTTGGGCTCTGGGGTCCCTCTGGAGAGCCGTGTGTTTGCATCTTGGCCTCCTCTCTTCCTAAGGCCATGTGGACCCCAAGCAGGTCACTTAACTTCTGTCTAGGCCTCAGTTTCCTGATCTGTACAAAGGACACAATCAGGCCTAAGTAGTGGAGTGTGGTGGGCATTGTCAGAGGTTAGCTCTACACACCTCAGTTGGTCCCCAAGAGCCCCCATACCCATCCATTTCTCCGATGGTCACAAACCCAGACATCCCTTCCACGAAACTCCACCAGTTTCACAGCCTGTGCAATAACCTGGATCCCCACAACCCTCATATGTAGATAGTCGGTAAAACTCTGTGCTGACTCAGGCTTCAGAATCACAGAGCTGGCGTCAGATACAGGGTCAGTAAGGAGCTACAGCAGGACTTTCCCTTTCCCCACTTCTCCCTCAGCCTGGCCAGCCGCAGCTCTTACTCAACCCCTGTCTCATTCACTCTCACCACCCCCACCCCCCACACACACACTCACCCACTTTCACAGTCAGTGTCTACAATCTTTTGGGTTTACTTCTCTCCTTTCCTGTCTCCCCCCCCCACCCCCCGCTGCCCAGTCATTTCTTCACTCATTCCTGAGCAGTTCACTCAATCCCTTTGTGTCTCAGTTTCCTCATCTATGTGATGAGAATATGCAGTCTCTAACACAGAGATGTTGTGAGGAATAAATTAGTTATTTCAGGAAAAACATAGCACAGTATCTGGCACACAATAAACTTCAATCCTCAATAAGTATTGGGTAATACTACTACTATTATTGCTTTAACTTCCCTTCATTAACCAACATTAATTAACAAAGAAGTAATCAGGACTGACTGAATCAGATACTGTACATACAAAGATTTTAGAATAGTGCTTGCTACACAGTAAGCTCTCCATAAGTGTTGTTAGTTATTATTGTTACTGGTCTAATCTCCCTGAGTTAATCAGGCTTATTTAGCAAAGGGGTAATGGAGATTGAATGAGACAATTTACACGCAGACCTTAGTGAACAGGACACAATAAGTGCTATCATCACTATCGTTGTCATCATTGTTGGTCATCCTCCCTAAATTAACCAAGGATGTTAAGCAGTCCTCAGAATTTAGAATTGTTCCCTTCCCCGGGACCCTGGGATAAGCTATTGTCAGGAAGCTAGTGGACAGGGGCTGCCTCACCCCACCCTCCACCAGAGGTATGGGAGGGTTAGTGGGGAAGGGGCAGGGCAGGATGGGGTGGGGATTAGTTTTCTACTGACTCACTGACATCTTTCATCACCATTCAACACTCCCCCCTCATGCACATTCCCTGCTTGCCAGTACTATGCCTTCCCAGGGTTAAGATCCTGGTGTTAGCCAAGGTTTGAATCCCAGCCATGCCTCGTGACCCTGGGAAAATTCTTCAATTCTTCTTAAGAAAAAAAAAAAAAAAAGTTGCCTTTGAGTGGATTCTGACTCATGGTGACCCCATGTGTATCACAGTAGAACTGTACTTCCTAGGGTTTTCAATGGCTGAGTTTTTGGAAGTAGATAGCCAATCCTTCCTTTTGAGCTGGCTCTGGGTGAACTTGAACCTCTAACCTCTTGGTTTGCAGCTGAGCAAGTTAACTCTTTGAATCACTCCTCAATTCCTCTAATGCCTCATATTTCCTCATCTGTAAAACGGGAATACCACTAGCTCCCATCTCACAGGCTTGTAAACTTTATATGACATAAATTATGGCAAGTGCCTGGTATACAGTATGTTGCTAGCTGCCATGGAGTCGGCAGTTCTTGCCTCATAGTGACCCCATGCACAACAGAACAAAACACTGCCCAGTCCTGTGTCATCTCCGTATTAGTTGGGGCTCCAACCATTGTAGTGCATACAGTTTTCATTGGCTGATATTTGGAAGTAGATTGCCAGGGTTTTATTCCTAGTCCTTCCTAGTCTGGAAGCCCTGCTGAAATCTGTTCAGCATCATAGCAATACACAAGCCTCCTCTGACAGATGGGTGGTGGCAGTGCTTGAGATGCACTGGCCGGGAATTGAACCTGAGTCTTCTGCATGGAAGGCAAGAATTCTACCACTGAACCACCAATGCATCATCGGTGCACCAAACCCACTGCCTTTGAGTCAATTGCAACTCGTAGCGACCCCCATAGATTTCCAGAGCTGTAAATCTTTACTGAAGCAGACCACCTGATCTTTCTCCTGCAGAACAGCTGGTGGGATGAACCACCAACATTTTGGTTAGCAGCCCAATCAATGCCTTAACCACAATGCCACCAGAGTTCTTTCATTGGTACACAGTAGGTTCTATATAAATGCTGGCTATTTGACTGTGGTTTTTGAGAGGGGTTTTTAAGACCCAAGCTGTGGCTCCAGGCCACCTGAGCTCAAATCTCCATTCTGCCACTTATTAACTCTGTGATCTTGATGGCGCTTAACTCTGTATCTCAGTTTCCCCACCTTGTGTTCCTCCTCCATTCACATACCTTATCTTCCTTCATTACTTCTACTTAATTCCTTTCTTTCCTGCCTCCCCTTGTCAGGATGGCAGATCTACAAGGAAAGGCATTTTTGTGTTTTTGTGTGCATGTGTGTTTGTTGAAGGAATGAACGAATTTGCGTTTCAGTCATGGGGAGCTTGGGGAATACAGGGAGTAGGACAGACTTTAGAGGGAGTTTGGAGACTTGAGGGGATGCGGGGGAAGCCTGTCTATAAGCCTTCCATTGAGGCT